ACATTTTATTTATTTCATTTTTAGAGAGAGAGGAAGGGAGGGAGAAAAAGAAGGAGAGAAACATCAATGTGTGGTTTCCTCTTGTGTGCCCCTCTACTGGGGACCTGGCCTGCAACCCAGGCCTGTGCCCTGACTGGGAACCGAACCAGCAGCCCTTTGGTTTGCAGGCTGGCACTCAATCCACTGAGCCACATCAGCCAGAGCTTAATTAATATTTTTAATTAAAAAGTTTAAATTATAAAATTTCCCCACGGGCTCTATATTTTGATTTTCTTAATTTCCAACCGCTACATTTTCCCAGATACTGACTTAGATGTCTCTCAATTTTTCCATTATTCAAAGATATTTGACCTGCCAACCAAAATTTGTCAGGAGGACAAGGTAATAACACCTACCAGTTATTGAGCATTTACTATGTGCTGGTGCTGTTCTGAGGGCTTTACAAGCCGTAGACTCACATGCTGGACTGCCTGGATTTGAGTCCACTTGCTCGCCATGTAAGTTTAGGCAAGCCACTTCATCTTGATTTCTTTACCTGTAAAATACGGGTGGCTAAATTGGTCCTACTTCACAGTGTTGTCATGAGAAGCAAAACACACAGTAAGTGCTCAGCAAATGTTACCTGTTATTCTTGAAATCCTTCAAAACATCTTATGGGGACTGTCATTTCTTCAGTTTTACAGATGAGGAAACCAAGGCACAGAGAGATTAAGTGACTGGCAGGAGGTCAAGCAGCTTGAAAATGGCAGAGTGGGGATTAGAGCCTAAGTATGCACATTAAATCCATTAATTTCCAGCTGCAGGCAAGGTTGCAAGTTCCTTTATGACTTGGGGCTTGACAGGCAAATGAAAGATCTCTCCCTGCCCTTCTGCAGTCCTGAGTGTGGCTCAGGGACCACGACCACCAGCCCTACCTCCCTCCAGGTCCTGACCTGATGTAGCAGGAATAAAAACATATCCCACTTAATATATATACCAAAGACAGCCATTCTGGAGTTCAAACAAACTCCGTGGTTTATCTCAGAGAGAGGGCTATTAGTTTGTGGCTTTTGCTAGGGCAGTAAGTACCTGGAAATGGAGGCAGGGAAGTGCTTAGGAGTACAGGCTTTGGTAGCCAATAGACTTGAGTTGTAGCCTCAGCTCTGCCCTTTCCTGTGTGACCATGGGCATATTACTCACCCTCTCTGAGCCTTGGTTTGAGGATCAATATGAGAGTCCATGTTAAAGGAACTTGGCCATGGGCTGATACGCAATACATCTTGGTGATTATTAAGGAGCAGGTGAAACTCAGAGGAAGTTTAAATTACTCCTTGGGAGGAAGTATTTAGGAATTTGGGGGTCTGCAGAAGAAGACAGAAGAAAGAGTTTGGGGAGGGGGGATGGGAGGCTCCATAAATGATGCAGGGGATGAGGAGAGGAGTTGGTAATGCCACCTTTTAAGGCAGGGCACTCAAATCCTCCACTTGACGCTATGCAGCAAGCGAGCAAGACCGTCCCAGTCTCCCTGCCTTCAGCAAAATCTGCTCCTGCACAGGGCCTGGGCCTCAGGCTGGTGTGGACAGGCCCCTGTTTCTCCCCAGCAAACACCAGAGGAAGAGGGGCCCTGAAGGGACTCTGGCCCTCCCTATACTTCACCTCCCCCTAGTCCCTGCCCCAAGCCTGTGGCCCAGGCTGGGTGTTTGTGGTGGAGGACTGTTTCAGTTCCTTCTTGGGGCTGGCTGGTCCCAGCCACTTCTGGGGTGGAACAGCGCTATGGGACGGAACGCTCCCCCAGATCCCAGCCTGGAGCACCACCTTTCCCTGCCGTTGGCTGAACGAAGTGGGGGATTATTAGAAAGGGTGGGGAGGTTGAGGCCTGGGTGCAAGATGGCAGGTCCTGAGGACACCTTCCTGGGAGGAACTGGCTCAAGCCCTGAGTTGGGCATGTCTAGGTCACCCAGTATCTACTATCTGACAGGCACTGTGCCAGGCACTGGAGACGCCACAGAGAACAAAGCAGACAAAACTCCCTACACTCCCGGACCTACCTTCCAACTGGGGGTGGGGGGAGGTGTCACAAGTTATAGACACTGAGTCTTCAAACCCAGTTACGCTGCCTACAGTTCCTCGTTTTTGTCCTACATCATTGTCTGCACCTTCTCATCTCCTTCGTGGGGTCCCCCTCCTCCCCCAGCCTTCAGAGAAAAGCCCACAGTCCCCCCTCCCCCACCTCTTTTCTCCTTTTGCTCTCTCTGCTCCAGCTTCATGGACTTCCTTGACATGATTCTTGCCTCTGGGCCTTTACATTTGCTAGTCCCTCTGCCAGGAATGCTTTTCCTTCTGGATATGTGCATGGATGGAGATCAGGGTTGCTTCTACCTTTTGGCTTTGCAAATAGTGCTGCTATGAATATGCATGTACTTGTCTGTCCTTTTGTCTCGTGTCCTGGCCTTGGTCAGGAAGCTCAGTTGGTCAGAGCATCGGCCGATATGCCATGGTTGTAGGTCTGAAAAGCCTTTGAGCAAGAATGTGCTGTTATTTGATTTAAGTTTGACTAGGATCCCACCACGGACAATGGATTCGGGAGTTCAGGGGTTGAAGTGGCAGAAGGGAGACCTGGGAGAAGGTTACCCCAACAACCCACCTGGTAAGGTATGACCAGTGGCCTGGGGATGGGGAAGTGGTGGCAGAAATGGAGAAGTGACAAACTCAAGACATGATTTTGAGGTAAAATCCTCAGGACTTGGTAATGATAGCTACGGCCCAGTTCTGGTTCTCAAATTCTTCTCTTCAGTCCCTACGAGTTACTGTCTCTTTTCTACAGTCCCAGCCACAAAGATGCCTGGCTATTCATAGTAGCCAAAGGGTGAAACCAACCTACTGCTCATTGACGGATGCATAGTTAGACAAAATGTAGCACATCCACACAACAGAGTATTACTCCACCTGATGCTCCTGCCCTTGCTCACTCGGCCCCAGCCCCACTGGCCTCTTCTTCATTCACACATGCCTGGCATGGGCCCATCTTGGGACCTCTGCACTTGCTGTTCCCTCTGCATAGGACACGCTTCCCTCAGATATCCCCAGGCCTCCCTCCTTCAGCTCCTTCAGGTCCCTGCTCCTCAGAGAAGCTTCCCCTGACCAGCCACCGTGTCTGAAACAGTGTTCCCAGTCCTTCCACCCCATGGCCATGGCTAATGACCTTCCTAGCATGAATCACTGACAGAGCTCGTCTTATTTGTGTGGTTTGTTGATTGATTTCAGCCACAGTGCCTGGCACACAGAAGGCACTTAGTGAGAGGCTGCAGAATGAACTGGCTGGTCCTGTTGGTCTCCTGCCCTCCAGCCAGGACTGGACAGTGATTGAGCCCTGGAGGTGGCCAGGAGGCGGCAGCAAGAACAGGAAGTAAACCCAGGTCTAGCTAGGTGGGCTGTGGTTTTGTGCAGAACAAAAAGAACAGAAATTGTTGTTTGCTGAGATCACCTATTGTATGCCATGACCTTTGTATACCTTGACTGCCTTTATTTTACAGATAAGGAAACTGAGGCCTAGAGAAGTGAAGCCATTTCTCTTAAGGCTCTCCAGAACTTTCCCTCTTCCCCCTGGGGCAAGAGCTAGGGTTGCAGTCCTTTACTGCCTTTGTCAGAACGCCCGAAATGTTCTCTATTCAGTTTTTACTTTTTTCAATAAATCACAAATTTTCAGCACGTGGAGTTATTTTTCAATTGAGTTGGGCGTTGCATTTCCTAAATCTGGCAACCCTAGGCGGGGAGGGGCTCGGACTCCCAGCTTAGAGCTTCAGGACCCCGTCGCTTTCTCTGGGGGAATCCCCCCCCGCTGTCTTTACCCCCTGGAGACCAGCTGGCTCTCGGGGACCCCGACATTTTTCCTGAGACCCCTCACTCAAGATTGCGAACGGGTCGCGGTTCCTTTAAGAGTGGTTTCAGGGCGGGGCGCACAGGGGCAGGGAGAATCCGGGGGCGGGCCGGGCGGGCCAATCCGGGGGCGGGACGAGCGTGGGGGCAAAAGGAGCACGCCCACGGGTCCCGAGCGACCGGCTGCCCCGCCTCCTTCAAGCCCTAGTCTCCCGCGGCTGCGTCGGCCCTGCCGCCGGGGAGACAAAGCGCCGCCGTTGCCGCTGCCGCCGTCACTGCGAGTGCGGGCCCCAGGCCATGGCCGGGCTGCGTCCCGGCCCCGCGCCGCCGGTCCCACCGCCGCCCCCCTAGTCCGCGCCGCCAGGTAAGGCCCGCCCGGCACGGGGCGCTGCGAGGGGACGCGCGCTCGGGCCGCCGTGGGCCTCGGGCCCCGCGGCCGGCGGGAGAGACCTCGGCTGGGGATCTGCCTGTGTGCGACTCCACGTCAGCAGTGATTTTCCCGTTAAAGACCCCGGCGGTCCGGGGCGAACTTGGCCGATGAGCTCCCCCACCCCCGCCCCGCCCCGTAAGGGGCCTGTGCTGCTGGGGACAAGCACTGCACCTGGCACGCACATTTTGTTGTCTGGGGCTCTGGCTGTGTCCCAGGAAAATCAAGAGCTCCCCGTACGACATACAAAGGGACAGAGGGCTGCTAGGAGCGGGGCCGACCTGGAGACCCAGCCTCCCCAAGGGGCGCGGGGCTGTTTCCAGCCCAGGGGCGGGAGGGGGCGTCCTGGCGCCCCTGGGGCCCTGCTGCAGAGCGGCCAGCACTTGTGTTCATACCTGTGCTTGTCACACCCTCTCCCCCCCGTGCCCACTGCTCGGGGACACCTGTGGCAGCTGGATTCAACCCCAGGACCTGTGGGGTGGTTTCTTTCCTGGAACTGGGTGCCAAAATGCCATGTCAGTTCTCCAGAGTCCCCGATTCTGGGCCAGCTCTGTCCCTGGAGACCTGGAGCTAATTATTTGCCTTCTGGATAGTTTTCCTTGCTACCTGCTAAGGGTTTTGCAAAATGGCTCTTCGGGATTAATTTATTCAACCCTTCCCAGAGGGGTGGATGTTAATGTTCTCATTTTAGAGGTGAGGCGGTGAAAACTCACAGAGGCGGTATTTTTGGTGCCTTTTCCCGTGGTTGGCCAGCAGGCTTTCCTCACTTTAGCTCATCGAATCCCCTCCACAGCCTGTTTGACAGATGAGGAAACTGAGGCTTGGAAAAGGGAAGTGACCTTCTCAAGACCCTCCAGCCTGGGCTGGTTGAGGTGAGAGCCTGGCCTCGGGACCAGGCCCCCCACAGCTCTCTGCCTGGCCTTGGGCTCTGAGTCAGTAGCAGTGCCTGCAGTGGACTCTGGACTTGCTAGAGAGGACCTGAGTGGGGGAGATAAGGCAGAGAGGAGGCCTCCTAGAGGCAGGAGCCCATGCCCCTCCCACTTCTGCCCCGCTGCCCCGCCTTGCTGGGGCTGGAAGAAGCAGGGGCCGTGTGCAGGACGGTTTCCTCTGTCACCTGCAATGTAGGACCCGGCTGGTCGGGTTTGGGGCAGTGGTGGGGGGAGGGCGGCTGAGCATGAGGGAAATCACTCTCTCTTTGGCCTTAATGGGGAGACCCCAGGATTAGCCCCTTTGGGCCACTTGTCTAGAGCATGTGATTCTGGGCACAGTATTGTACCTTTGGGCAAGTTACCTAACCTCTCTGTGTCTCAGTTTCCCCATCTATTAACATGGGACAGGGGACAGACACCTTCTCAAGGAGCTGTTGAGAGGTTTAAGAAGACGACTGTTTAACTCATTCTACAGGTATCTGAGCACCGACCACATGCCAGACACTGGAATGGAATTCAGACAAAAAACCTCAGCCCTCCTAGAACAGGCAAAAACGACCCAGGTAATTTCAGGTTGGGGGACCAGAGAGGGATGGGGAGTCTTATGTCAAGGGTGGTTGGGAATGGCTTCCCTGAGACAGGCCAAGGCCCTGAGGCAGGACTGTGCCTGCAGTTGTGAGGAGCAGCAAGGAGTGCGGGCTGGCTGATGCTGCGTGAGCAAGGCGACGGGGCCGGGGAAGGGGACTTGGAGGCAGTGGAGGACTCGGTTTTACCACGAGAGAAGGAGGGAGTCATTGGTGTGGTGCAGGGCTGTGGCTGGATTTGGTATGAAACAGGATCTTTCTGTGGGGAATGGCTTTCAGTGGGGTCAGGGGAGGGGCCTTGGAAGGAGTTTGGCTCTTAACCCGAAGAACATGGACAAGGAGGGGCAAGGGTGGAGGCAGGGGACCAAGGAAGAGGCCGCTGGAGCCATCCAGGGGAGCAATGAGGAGGGCCTAGACTGGGGAGGTGGCGGTGGGTAGAGATGAGGCCACTGATTTGGAAGAGGTTGGAGGGAGGCTGTCAGTTGGGCTTGACCAGTGGTCAGAGTGAGGGTGTGAGAAGCCAAAGGCCATTTGCTGGGACACTGTGCTGAGGGGAGCGTTTGGGGAGGCCGAGAAGAATGGCGACAGCTGCCACTGCTGAGCAGGTACCGCGTGCCCAGCACCATGCTTAGTGCCCTCTGTGTAATTCACTGCGTCATTGTTACAACACTGATTTAGGTGCCCTTATGATCCCACTTCACAGATGTGGAAATAGAGGCCCAGAGAGGCTTAAAGCTTGCCTGGGGTCGCGCAGCCTGGACACTACAGAGCTGACATTTGAACTGGGAGAAGAGCCAGCCAAGAGCAGACTGGGCAGAGGGGAGGTGAGCGGTGGCCTGAGAGGTAGGAGGGAAACGGGACAGGTGGCATGGGTGGTTCCTGTGAGAAACGGGGCTGGGGTCTGCGTGGAGTTGTTGGGCTGTTCGGGAAATGCATGAGTCTTATTTTGCAGAGGAAGAAACTGAGGCTCAGAGAAGGGTGGCCTGTCTGAAGTCTGTTTAGGGAGGCAGAGCAGGGACTAACTACCCTGAGCCTTCAGGGTCTCTGGCCTTGGCCCACTGCCAGGTCAGGACAGGCTGACCTCGGCTACAAGATCCCAGCGTGTGGTGCCTCCTCCAGGGAGCCATCCTTGACTGCCTAGGCAGGTGAGATGAGGTGAATTCTGTTGGGAGCAGCTGGGTCAGGCTGAGCTGCTCTCAGGAGCGCTACCACCCACATACCTCATTCCTCCAGGCCCTGAGCAGGGCGCCACCTGGGCTGGGGAATGAGTGTTTACTGAGCACCTACGGCATTCCAGGGACTTCACATACTTTGTCTCTTGAAAAATGTACCTACTGTCCTGTATAGAGTGAGGCTGTGAGGCAGAAGCACAGGGCGGATCCTCACAGTGGCCAGGAGAGAATCCCAAGGGAAGGTGTGGTTGTATTAGGGGTCCAGGTATCACCTCCCAGTAAGTCGTACCTGGCCTGTGTTGCCCCATCATGTGCTCCTTGGGGAAGGTAGATAAAATCAGAGGCAAGTACACAGTTAGATTCTTCTGCTCTGAGTGCATGATGCTCTCTGCGCTACCGCCCCCCCCGCCCCCGTAACTGCGGGCCAAGCTCTGGGTCACTTTTCTGGACTATTTTGCCACAGCCTTTCCTGTCTGTCTGTCTGATTGCACCTGCCGCCTCACCCCTCCCTCCTCCCACTCCAGCCTCGCTGGCCTCCTGGCCAGTTGTCCAGCACACTGGCAGGTTCCCACTTGGGGCCCTTTGCACGTGCTGTCCCCTCTGCCTGGCCTGTCCCAGGGCCCCCTCCCTCATCTCCTTTAGGCCTCTGCTCCAATGTCACCTTCTAAGCACAGCTGTTCCTGACCCCCCTCACCCTGTTAAAATCACACACTCCTGACCCCCGCTCCACATCAGCTTTTCCACAGCACTGAAGACCAGGACGTCGGGCAGACTCGTTGTCTCCCTTTGTTCATTGTCTGCGCCCTGCGCTGGCCACTAGCGTGTCAGCAGCGCCCCCCTCTGTCTTGTTTACGGCTGGTGTCTGGTCTAGAACGGTGCCTGGCACACAGTGGGTGCCTAATACGTGTTTGATGAGTGAGGTCCCTGCAGCCCTTTGAAATGGGTCCTCTTCACGTCCTCATTTCAGACAGGCCGATCACAGCCAAGTGAGGGACCCAGGGCTGAGACCTGAAAGGGACCACAAAAGGCCGGCCCGCCCGGTCCTCAGGGACGAGGGAGACAGCAGGGCCTGAAGCGAGGCCTGGGTTTGGATTTCAGCTCCACCCAACTTGCTTTGTGGCCCTGGGCGCGTGACCGACCTGCGCTTTGTTTCCTCATCTGTCAAATGGGGGTCAGGCTGCTTCCTGCCAGCTAAGGTTTGTTGCAAGACAAGTTAAGAGATACAGAGCGCTTGGCGTGCAGGAATTCCCAACGTTGTTTTGGGGCGAAGGGTGCAGGAGGGTTATGAGTCTGACCCTGGGACCACAGCTGGAGTCAGACCCGTGGGTGAGTCCTGGCTCTGCAGGTCGCTTCCACTCTTTGAGCCTCAGTTTCCTTATCTGTGAAGGGGGGGCGCACCCGAGGGAGGCTGGGCGGCCAGGGGGAGGTGCTGGGTTACCTGGTGGCGTGGCCGCTGAGTGACAGCTGGCCTGGGTGGGACAGGCCCTGAGCTCGCCGCAGGCCCATCCTTGCCGCCATGAAGCTGAACGAGCGCAGCCTGGCCTTCTATGCCACCTGCGACGCGCCGGTGGACAACGCCGGCTTCCTGTACAAGAAGGGCGGCCGGCACGCGGCCTACCACCGGCGCTGGTTCGTGCTGCGTGGGAACATGCTCTTCTACTTCGAGGAGCCGTCCAGCCGCGAGCCCGTGGGCGTCATCATCCTGGAAGGCTGCACTGTGGAGCTCGTGGAGGCCGCCGAGGAGTTCGCCTTCGCCGTGCGCTTCGCGGGGGCCCGGGTCCGCACCTACGTCCTGGCCGCCGAGAGCCAGGCCGCCATGGAGGGCTGGGTGAAGGCGCTGTCGCGGGCTAGCTTCGACTACCTGCGGCTGGTGGTGCGCGAGCTGGAGCAGCAGCTGGCCGCCATGCGGGCGGGGGGCGGCCCGGCGCCGCCACGCCGGCCACGCGCGCTCCTGCCCAAGGAGAACGGCTGTGCCGTCTGGACCACCGAGCCCCCCGCCGCCTCCGCGGGTGCCGCTGCCCGGGCCCGGCCTGGCCCTGCGCCCCCGCCGCTGCCGCCCCGCCGGCGGGCCTCAGCGCCCAACGGGCCTCTCGACGCGGCCTCCTTCTCCCAGCTGCACGAGCGGTACGGGCAGGAGGTCCGGGCCCTGAGGAGCCAGTGGCTCAGGAGCCGGGCCCAGCCCTGACGCAGCGCGTGAGGGCCGCGCCGAGGGGCGGGGCTGGAGCCAGCCCGGGTCGCCCGCTGTCAGGGTCCGGAGGGACTCTGGTCCGAGGCCCTGCCCCACGGCCGGGCCCGGAGCGGCTGGGGGCCTGGGCCTGAGGGAAACCATGGTCAAGTCCTGAGGAAAGCGGAGGCCCCTGTGGGGCCTGCTTTCAGGGAACATGAGCTCTGAGAGGATGCTGGACTCGGAGGGGTGCCTCAGACTTAGAGGCGGCCACAGTGCCTCCCTCTAAGGAGAGCTTGGCCCGGCTGAGCCCCGCAAAGCCCGAGGGCTGGCACGCTCGCCCCAGGCCCAGCCCGGATCCCCCAGCAACGGCCTGCTGGTGGCGTCAGGTCCTGGCTGCGGTGACTGCGACCTGACGAGGGCCTGTGGCCCAAAGGCAAATGCCCCATCAGCCCTGGCCCGTGGCGGGGCCTCGGCGCGGACAGAGGGAAGGCCCAGGCCTGCCACCCACCGGGGTCGGGCCTCGTTTTGCTCCCAAGGAGCCGGCCTGCTCCGGGCTGCCTGCCCACCCGCTGCCAGAAACAGCAGCTGAGAAGGCGGCAGCGGGTTTTAATGCATAACTGGAATGGCGAGGTTGCCTGGTCCCCAGGGCTCTGGGCCTGGAGCGGGGCCCAGGCAGGACTTTGCCCTCGGCCTGGGCCCAGCCCTGAGGCGGCACCCGCTGTGCAGTGGCGACCCTCCAGCCTTGAGCCTCTCCGTGTTCCCGCGGCGGCTCTCACGCGCCCTCCGAGGGCCTCAGCCACACCTCAGTCCCCGCTCCCAGGGCCGCCGGCTCTTCCGGCCCCGCCCTGGGACCAGGCCTTGCGGGAGCTCGTCTGACCTGGTTCAGCCTGGCTGGGCAGCCCTGGCCTCAGCTGCCTTCCCAGCAGGTTTCACTGGGGAGGGGTGGCCACGTGCTGACTCACTGCCCGGAAAGGGCCAGGTGCTGATCTGCGGGACCAAGCAGCCGTTGGGGAGCTGCGTTTGGCTCCGAACCCCCTCCCCCCCGATATTCTGATGGATGACAAAGCCACTGTTCTCATCTCTGCAGTGGCCCCTCTTCGTCCAGGGAGACTCTGGGGCCGGGTCATGTTTACAGTCCTCAGTGCCCCACACTGGGGACCCGCTGAGGATACCTCCCCCCACCCTTTGTTCTCCAGAAGACCCCTCCCTGGCGTCCTGAAGAGACCCTGGGGCGCGGGGAGGAGTGGGGCACCACCTGCCTGCAATCACCGGCTCAGAGCTGGCTCGGGTGACTGCGGCTCCCGTTTTAATTTAACTTTTGATACTGAGGTGTTTTTTTTAAAGCAACAAATCTTGGCATTTTCACTACTTCCGTTTCTTGTTGGCTGCTGGGAAGGGACAGGGTGCCTGGCTGGGGTGGGGGTGAGAGAGGACAGTTGGCAGGCCCCAGGGACAGGGCCAGGAATCTTGGCTGGAGACAAAGGCATCTCAGGAATCTCACCGGGTTCCTCTCCTTCTCCAGGCGAGCCCTGATCTGTGGCAGGTGCCTGTGGGGCCTTGGTACGCCTCCTGTCCCCGCTCCCCAAGCCTTGAGCAGTGTGAGTGGGGCAGCGGCTCTTGTCCCCAGGCCCTGAGTCCCCAGGGCTGCTGGGAGCTGCGCAGACCCCGCTGGTGGGTGAGGTGGGGGCCCCAGTGCTGGTGCAGGTTTACAGACTCGAAAGGAACAGTGCCTTGGTCTCCGTGGGGGGCTGGTGAGAACCACCCCCCGCCCCTGTTCCTGCTCCCGATCCCCAAAGCACAAGGTGGGGTCAGGCTGCTCTCCAAGCTGGGTCGGGGGAGACACCAGGCAGCCCGGGAGGGGGATTGTAAAAGCTAAAATAAAATAAACAACAGTTTGTCAAGTAATGGCTGGTTGTGTGGTTTTTCCCATCAAAATCCCAGATCAGTTTGCCTGGCAGAGCCAGGAGCAGGCCCTGTGGGACCAGTGACCAGTGAGTGTGTGTGTGCCACATGGCTCCTGCTCTGTCAGGCACATCCTCACTCCCTCTTATGGCAGATACTGGCCCCATTTTTCAGATAAAGAAACTGAGGCTCACAGAGGTTAAGAAATCTGCCAAGTTCACACAGCCAGAAGGTGTCAGAGCAGGGAGGGAGCCTCTGGGACCCTGTGCAGGAGGGGCAGGGCCTTCTAGAGCAATATGGGGAAATGGAGTTGCACGGCTCCTTTCCAAAAGGAAGAGGAGGCAGAAGGAAAGAGGAGGATTAGAAAGTCAGCTAGGCTGAAGGCCTGGCTTTTGGAAGGAGTGTCAAGGATGGCAGATGGAAGAATTAAAATCTGGCTGTTGATGGTCCGTTCATGGGGCCGCCCGGGGGCCTGCAGTTAGGATTCGGGCACTGACGCTAGTTTGGAGGGAAGGGCCCAGCCATGGCGGTGGTGTCTGCCGTGAGCCTGGAGGGTGGTGGGGGCTCTCCTGTGGTCTGCTGTCTCAGACTCACTGGGCTATTGGGAGATCACAGACGGGAAGGGGCTGGCCCAAGGTCACCCAGCAGGATGGACTGGCAGAGCTTGGGTCACATGTCTCCCTTGTTGACCTGGGAAAATCATGCACATTGAGGAAAATGTGGCTCAGGATGAGCAACCTACAGCCCTTGGTCTGCAGAACAAGCTCGAGAACAAGAAATGAAAAGACAGCAATGTCCGGGAATCCGGCCACTCGTGCGCATCCAGGGCTCGCTGAGTAATTCCTTCCACCTCTCCTGGGACCACAGCTGATGGGCGGGGGCCGGGGAAGTGGCTCCCCGCACAGGCTGAGTCAGAGCGTGCGGCCTGTGGCACTTGTGACCACAGCCACCACAGGGCCCAGAATGGGGAAGTGGCAGGAGAGAGACAGCTAGCTCCAAGACCAGGTTGGGGGTGGGGGGTCGCCTGCTGGGCCTCTTAGGGCCGGAACGTTTCCATGAATTCAAGGGAGTTGGGAAGGGGTGGGGGGCGGGTGGCAAAGACGAGCCAGCCAATGCCTAAGTGCTGTGCATCCACCTGCTCATGCGTCACTCGTGGTGTGCTCTTCACCAGTGGGATGTGTTCAGGGCACATGCTTAAGGACTGAAATATCCCAGGAGCATGACAAAGTAGAGAAAATCGTCTCCACTTAAAGAGTCTTTGGGTTCAGAAGGAACGTTCTGAGAAGCCACTCGGGGCAGGGGATGCGAACCTGAAGAGGGGCCATCGGGCCAGAGGTGATGTGTGGGCTGCCCAACGTCTACCCGCCCTGGACGTTACTCAAATTCAGCCCTGGCCCGGCGGCTCAGCTGGTTGGAGTGTTGTCTGTGCACCAAAAGACTGCGAGCTCCATTCCCAGCCAGGGCACCTACCTACATTTCGGGTTTAATCCCTGGTCAGGGCATGTACAGGAGGCAACTGACTGATGTTTCCTTCTCTTTCCCCCTTCCTTTCTCTCTCTGAAATCAATAAAAAAACATATCCTCAGATAAGGACTAAAAAAAATAAATAAATAAACCATCAAAAACAAAAAACAAACAAAAAAAATACCCCTCAATCAGTTGTGCTGTTCCCATCTGACTTGTAGGAATTAGTTAAACTTTAGCTGCTAAAGAATGACTCCATGATGCAATTTTGGCCAATGTGATGTTAGTGGAAGCAGTTTCTTGCTTTGAAAAGGAGACACAAAGAAGAGCTCTCCGTTGTTTTCTAAAGGTGGAGTTACGTCTGCCTGATGTGTGGAGCTGTGGCAGCTATCTTGCGATCATGAAATAGGACACCCTTGGCAGGTATCCTGCAGTGAGTTTAGCACACACCTGAGAACATCCTTGAAATTCTGAAGCAACCCCACCTCCGGATGGCTTACTTGTGGTAATACACGGCTTTGTTCCAAGCTTTAAGGGGGGCTATTTTGTTATTTGCAGCCACAGGCTTCCTGATGGGTAGGCCTGAGTGACTGTGGCTGCCTCTCTAAGGAGCGTGGCTTTGGCCAACCAACTCCAGGGCTGCTGTCAGCTCAGGGGGCGAAGACTAGGGACACAGTGGGATGCCCTGGGACAGCAAAGAGGCCCCTGCTTCTCCTCCTCTCCCTGGGACCCTTCCATCTCTCCTGTTTGGAAACAGTGAACGAATATCCAAAGAGCAGCCCCCTCCTGTGCTTCCTGCTGGCCCTGGCCCTTGTGTGCCCCTGAATGAGGCTGTTCTGTCCCTGCTCTGGGGCTGGGGCTGGAGCCAGCTGACTACTCTCTCTGGCCCCCTCCCCAGATCACCTTACTTCCCCTCACACAAACTTTGTTATACAAAAGGCCCTGCTGTTTATCCCCATTTCTAAAATTGCCGCATCCAAAATGAAACTTCCAAGGCAGCAAAATGATAAACTGCTTGAGCCCAGCTACAGACTTTGCCCTTTCTGATGAAGGCTCTTTAACAGGTAGCCCGTGAACTGTTTACATCTCAGGGTTTCGGGACAGTTGCCCGTTCCTGACAGAGGGGTCAGGGCTGCCTTAGCTCCGCCCGCCCTTCCTTGGGGCCGCGGCTGTGGCTGCTCTCGGCACAGGCGCAGCGCGGAAAGCCCTTGGGCACTGGGGCCACCGTCCTCTCTTCAGTGCCCGGGGGCCCTGTTGTCATTGCCTCTCTAGCTGTGGGCCGAGGTATCCCGGGGAGCGCACCAGGGCCCCAGGCTGCACCCCCAGAGAACAGGGACCAGGCCTGCTTCCTGTGCACCTCAGGCCTCGCAGGGCGCCCTGTACGGTGCCGCTGGTCACTGCGTCCTCTGCCCCTCGGCTTGCCAGATCCTTTCCTCCCTGTCCCAGCCTCTTGGGTAGGAGTTGGTCCCGAGGCAGAAACTGGGCGATGAGGGTCCTGGGAGTCTTGAAGTGGGAGAACAGATTGAGTGAGGTCTGAGGGGGCTTTAGGGAGAGAATGGACGAATCAAGACAGACAGTGCAGCACCCCAAAGCCCAGCCAAACTTCTTGTCTTGGATGTTTCCAGGTTTCCCCTGGACCCGCCCCCCCACAT